TTTTGTGTCTCCCCCCCCCAGCTCAACCGTGACCTCTACGAGGTGATGAGCAAACTGGAGAAGCAGCACTCCAGCAAAGTCTTCATCATTAAAGGCATCTCCAGGTAAACCAGGGGGGAACCAACTCCCGTGACATGGGGTGTGGGGGGGGGGGGGGCTTCCCAGTTGGCACCACCACCACCCCCAAAAATCAGCCCCCCCCAGTCCTGGGATGAGGTGCTGGGGGTGATTTGATGGTGATGGGTTAATTAATTTGCTGCTGGATGGGGAAACATCACCTGGGGAGCTGGGGAGGGGGGGGTGACACTGGGGTACCCCATGTCCCCAAGAATGGTGCCTGTGGGAGGTGTCAGAGGTGGGGGTTTAACCCCTTCTATTCCCCCCCCACCCCCTGTGCAGCAACCGGCGCTCGCTGGTCATCTCCTCTCCGGTGAGCCCCCCCGCCATGTTCCCCTGCCCGGGGAAGGCTCCCGACTTCGTGGTGGCAGTGGAGGCGACACCGACATCCCCCGGGGTGGCCAGTGGGGCCACCGACACCGTCTCCAACGGGGACCTGGGGGCTGCCGTCCCCGGACCCCCACCGGCCTCCCCCGCCAGTGGCGGGTCCCTGTCGGAGACGGCGTCGGTCTCCAGCGAGGAGGGTCCGGAGCCCGACCCCCAAGCTCCGTCCCATGGGACATCGGTGGCACCGGACACCGGTTCCCCCAAGGTCACCGAAAACCAGGCTCCGGAGCCAACGGGGGCTACCAGGTGGGGGGCCGAGGGCATCGCCGCCTCCCTGGCATCGCTGATTTTATCCGAGGCGGTCGCCCAGGCCACTGGCACCGTGCCACCAGAGCTGGATGGAGCCACGGAGGGGCTGGAGGCAAGCAAACCCCCCGGCATGGCCACCGATGGGGAGGGGCAGGCAGATGGCGGGGAGCCCCCCTCCTCAACACCGGCCACCCCCCTCGATGTCCCCGATCCTGTGGTGGGGGCACTGGAGTGTCTGTCCCCGGGTGGCGATGCCAGGGGTGACCCCCAGGAGAACGTGGAGGTGATGGACGTGGAGCCCAAGGTGGCCCAAACTCAGGTGAAAAAAGTCCTTGGGGCTGGGAGGACGGACACCGTTGGCGGCGGGGGGACACTGTTGGTGGGGGGGACACCGTTGGTGGGGAGGGGACACCCTTGGTGGTAGTGGGGGACACTGTTGGTGGGAGGGGGACACTGTTGGTGGGGAGGGGACACCGTTGGCAGGGGGGGACACCATTGGCAGGTGGGGGACACCCTTGGTGGTAGTAGGGGACACTGTTGGTGGGAGGGGGA